TAAAAATATGATGAGTATTTGTATAAAGATAATTAAAATTTCAAACAATAATATTAGCTTTACTTGTTGTTTTTTTTAGGTGAATCAATTGCAATTGATGGAATATCTTTAAAATGCTGAGGTAATCAAATAAATTTTTAATTATTTAGGAATTTTAAGGATTAAACTATTTAGCAAAAAAAATGTTTGATAATGAGTTCAATTTAAATTTAAAAAAAAAATTAATATTAGTTCTCGCACAATTAATATCAGTTCTCTTATTTATTAAAATTTAGAATATTTTCCAACAATTTTGTGACCTCCATGAATATAAAGGGGAAAGGTGAAAATATGCTTTAAGAGTACTAATTTATATGGTGTAGTGAAAGGTATACCTTTATAAGATATGTAAAACTTTTTTATTCTCATTTTTTATATATTCAAAAATTTCTCCTTGTGTTTTTTTTTTTTTTTTTCTAATTCTTTTTTATTAACAGCTTCTTCTATTAAATACGATGGAGCGACTGAAACTTTAATTGATGGCATTTTGTCTAACTTCTAAAAATGCTCTTCATTTCGAAAAGGTGGCGGAAAAGAAAAAAATTTAGATTGATTAATATAAATTTATATTTATAAAAATCGATCTAAAATTTCTTTATTGAAATATTTACATATATTTCAATAAAGAAATATTTTCTTTTTGTCTGCTAATATTTTTTTTTTTTCAGTGTTAATTCAACATTACAAATTAAAACTCAATAATGAAAAAAGCCTAGAATTGAGTTGATGTTTTAAGTAAAATAAGAAAAGCCCAAAAAGTAACTGATGTAATATTTTTATTTTTTGATAAAAAAAAAATTCTAATAATGTTTAAAAATGGTATTAATGTTAATGTTTATTAAATGAAGATGAGTAAAAAATAAGTAATGTTTATTAGATGAAGATAAGTAAAAAAATAAGTTACAAGTTACTTTTTGGTCTTGAAAATTGTTTGAATGATAATTTATTATTCATCAAAATATTTTCTTTTTTAATTTTTGTTGTTTTTATATTTTAATTAAAAGTAGATATTATTGTGTCATATATTATAATATACCTTATATTTTACTATTATATTAATAATGAGTATTTTTGTTTTTTTGTATTTCTATTTTTTTTCAATATTCCATAATTATCTTATGTAGATGTTTATGTTTTAGCAACCTAGTATTCTTTCATTATTTGTCTTTGTTATTGAGCCTTAAGTTATTTGAACATAATATATTCAGAACTCTGCTGAATAATAGAGTAATAAATAAATTAATAAAAATGAGTTTAAAATATAATAAATTTATAAAATAAAGAAAATCTTATCTTTGCTTATAATGTCTACTAATATTATTGTTTAGCAAGTATCATGGTTATAAAATGTTCAAATTTAGCTAGTTTAATTAGGCCTGTTAGTACAATTATACTATGGTTTCTTTATTTTATATTAGTTCACGTAATTTTTTCAAAATCGAATATGCGGAAAGGAGCTGTTTGGAATGAAGATTTACAAGAAGAAGTAATTCCATCTGATTGGATTAGTGATAAAACTGTTTGTCGGCTTCCAGGTACCAAAGCATTGACTGCACTAAAATGCAGAGAAGAATTGGCTTCAGTTTATACAAATAAAAACTAAATTCTCTTCAGGTATTACATCTATATATTACAATTATTATTTTTTAAATAATGTGGTAAGAAGAGTTATTTTGTTGATACAAAATATATAACTATTTGTATAACTATTTCAATTCTAAAAGAAAGAAAACAGTATTGTGAAAATTTTAAATTCACAACTACAAAAGAAAAATGTTATAATGAGAATGTTGACAAGTGGATGCAAGATTTGCACACAAGTGGAAACTTGGATGCAAATTTTCCACTTGTGTGGTTTGGATGGTTCTCCACAATATAATATATCTCCACAAGCATAATATTAGATTTACTTCATGTTTTTTTACAGATAAATCAATTACAGTTAATTGGTGGAGTTACCTCATTTATAATCAGGGTGTCTGCAGCTCCTCTAAAATCCTCTAAAGTCCTCTTTTTTTAAAACCACTTCTAAAATCCTCTATTATCCTCTAAAGAGGTAAAAATTTGATCAAAGCTCCTTATTAATTCTTCCTTTTTTAATTTTTGATGGATGTATAATGTTCAAAATACCCATTCTCGGTCTGCAAAACTGGTTAACGCCTTAAAGTGCATGGAATTGTAAAAAATTGCTTTAGAAATTTAACATAGCAAATGACATTATTTGATCCCTGTCCAAGCCCCATAAGTGTATAAACATGGACGTAAAACCATTAATAAATGGCCACATAAAATTTCTTATAAAAATTTTATGTGGCCACCCCAAAAATTATTTTTCGATGCTAGAAATGTTTTATATTTTGATTATTAATTTATTTTTAATATATTAAAAAGGTTGTTTTATTTAAATTAAATATTTGAAAAAGTTATTAATAACCAACTAACAGTTATATTATTTTTTAAAAACTCAGAGTATTTTTGAAAAGTTATATGGCCTCCATGGATATGAAGGGCAAAGGAGGAAAAATATGTTTTAAGAACACTAATCTATATGGCGTTGAAAAAGATATACCTTCATAAGTTGTAACACTTTTCCATTCATTATTTATTTTTTAAATCTTCCCTTTTTGTTTTTTTTTAATATATTTTTTTATTTACAGCTTCTTATATTGTACTCAATGGACCAAAAGAACCCTCGGTTAATGGAACATTGTTTGACTTTCTAAATTACGTTTTATTTCAAAAAGGTGATGGATAAGAGAAGAAATTTGTGTAGATTTTATTCAATTACATGTAAATATATGTAATATTTGAATATGTATTTTTGAATAAAACAAGTTTTATCTCTTTCTTTAATCATACCTAGCTATTTTAACTAAACTAAACTGAAAAAGTTCTAAATAGTCTAAGTATAGACTATGAATAGATTTAATATCCATAATATACCTTGATAATGTACAGCAACACTAATGTACATGCATAGTACGTTTTGATGGTGATCATATTTTGACGCACATAGCATGTTTACATACATATATACATTTTGACATACATAGCACGTTTTGATGGTGAAAAAGTATTTTACAGTCGTTTAACGTTGATAAATCAACGTTAAAAAAACTATCATTTTAAACGTTGTATCAACGTAAATCCAACGTTGTTGTAACGTTTTTTCGCGTCGAATTAACGTTGATATAACGTTTGAATCTAACGTTGATTTAACGTTGATAAATCAACGTTGAAAAAAACTTTCATTCTAAACGTTAAATCAACGTAAATTCAACGTTATTGTAACGTTTTTTCGCGTCGAATCGACGTTGATATAACGTTTGAACCTAACGTTGATTTAACGTTGATAAATCAACGTTAAAAAAAACTTTCATTCTAAACGTTAAACCAACGTTAATTCAACGTTAGGTTTCAACGATATTTCAACGTTATTTCAACGTTATTTGCCGGCTGGGTATGCACTACTAATTAAGAAATAATTTTTTAACTTACTAACCATAGCAGATGTAGATACAGCTAAAAATCAAAAATAAATTTAACAATGAAAAAAGCAATTAACAAAATAATTGACTTTTTTGTGAAAATCAAAACACTGCTGAAAAATAATTAGATTTTAAACTTACTATTTGTGACAGATGGAGATGTAATTAAAGGCAAAAAAGGATGTAATCAACCAAAAATTGTTTAATTTAGGCATTAAACTAATACAGAGATTAAAAAGTAAAAGCTTTTAAACTAAGCAACTGTGGCAGATATAGATAAAAAAAAGGTGTAATCAAGAAAAAAAGTATTAGAAATTGGCAATAGATCTAAACACAGTGAAAAAATAAATAGCTTTTAAACTTACCAACTGTGGCAGATGTTGATGAAACTAAAAGTAAAAAAAAAAATAGCTGTATTTAATAATAAGAAAATTGAATTTAAATCTATACTCTATGCGTGCATCACTGATGATTTAGTGGTAATTTAATTCTTATCATAAGTGGTGATTAAGTACTTACTAAACGTTGATTTTGTAAACTTTTTATCACTAGTAATTGAGTGGTGATTTGTTACTAGTGATTATGAGTGATTTAACAGTTGTGATTATTGCCACTGATTTAACCGCGATACGCTATTGATTCAGTAGTGATTCAATAATAATTGTAAGCGATGATTAAGTACTTATTCAACGGTGATTTTGTAAAATTTGTACTACCGTGATTGAGTATTGCTTTTACACTAGTAAGCATGTAAAGATAATGACAGTTAATTTAACGCCGTTAATTTAAGTATATATATATATATATATATGTATATATATATATATATATATATATATATATATATATATATATATATATATATATATATATATATATATATATATATATATATATATATATATATATATTTACGCTAATTGCTATTACCTAGGTGCTCATACTCATCTACTCTATATTTTTTTAACGGAAAAAACAATTTTTTTTTTATCTGTTTATACCAATGATATATTATACAACTAGAGGTCTAACTTGCGCGATTTTATTGAATAAAAAGTGAAGCCGCTTTTTTTTGTTTATAACAATGGTCCGCCATTTGTAAAAAGAGCAAAAGCTAAAGCCGAAGTGTAAAATAAAAGTCAAAAATGTATGTAAAAAAATCCCAATTTATTAAAGATAATTCAAAAACAGGATTTAAAGTTATAAGTTTTTTTATGAGCCTATATTTATTAAAAAGTATTTTTATTCATAAAAAGGCTTCAAAATAGTTTGACGTTTTACTTTTCTATTCAAATTTTTATTCAAAAATCAATTAAGGATTCATAAATTATTATTTTAAAAGTTTTATAACTTCCGCTTACACTTTTACGTAAATAGTATTTATATTTAAAATATATTTAGTTCATTTAGGAAAAGATAAGTTAAAAATATTTGTTTACAAATGTAATCCGCCATTTGTATAAAGGGCAAAACGTAGGTACGCCGATATCCGCGTTTTACGGAACCGATAAATGTGCTAAAATTCTGTGCCACGCTTTTTGAAGTTCACATTTGGAGAGGTAGGTTGTGCAGTGTTTTGTTGCCTTGTTTTTTAGAATTTCATATTAACATAGATATTTTTTAAAAACTAGAATGATTATACTTTATTAATATGTGTCTTATGATTACTATTACGTACTTTGTAAGTTGATTTATTGACATACAAAACTTTGTTGTACTTTGTGCATCCAGCAAATATTGAAGATATGGACAGCAATTCACTATCTTTTGCAGCCATTTAAGTTTACACATTTTTTATTTGTCTGCCAAATTTCGTTGAAAAAAAATGGGGCGCAGGCAGTCTATTTTGGGGCGCACTTTTGGTACCTATTTTCCTTAGTCTGAAATCATTTGCGGGCAAAGGAGGGGGGGTGGAACACAATTAAAATTCTTTTAAGTTTAACAAAATAAAACTTTGTAAACTTTTTATTAATGTTATATATTACTTTTTTTTAGATAAAATGAGTGTAGATATTAATTAAAAATTAATCTCTTCACTCATCTTATCTACAAAAAATACTATTTGCATAAAAGATAACTAATAAACAAATTGAAAATGAAAATAAAAATATTTTATAATCATACAATGAAATTGTATGTGTATTGTAGTAAATGGTAGTATTTATGTGAGAAGCTATTTACAGGTACTATCTACACTGAAAGCTATTTACAGGTACTATCTACACTAATTATAGACATTGTAATGTTTTTTTTTTTTTTTAAATAAATATTTATTTGAAAAATATTTTTGTTTTATGTTTGCTTCAATAGCTTTTTACAACAAAATTGATTAAATTTTTTTAATTTACTTACCCGTTTAGTAGTTTTTATAATACTTTTAATTGTTGTTGGTTTCAAAATACTAATACTAACGCAAGAAAAGTGTAATTTTAATACAATTAATTTTTGCTTAATTTTCAAATAGTCTATTGGGCTACATGTTTACTTTTTGGTCATAACTATGTTGTATGTATATTGATACAACTTTTGGTTTAGTTACATATATTAATACCATAGTTACATATATTAATTTATTATATTTATTGATATTGTTTAAAATAAATATACAATTATTTTTTCTTTAGATTTTTTAAATATTAAACTAATATATCTCATGGTTATTACTTAATATGGAAATATTTTGACTTGCAAAATTCGTACCAGTTATTCTGAGTGGCAAACAGGTACTGTTATTGTAAGTGTCAAAGTGAGTGGTAAGGATCATTTAACTTTTTTTTTAGTGATATACATATTTAAGACAAATAAACTTGGAATCTATTATTTAAATATTATTTTTTTGATTTGTTTTACATTTCTAAATTTATTAAGAAACTCATCAGTTGTAACTATTTAATGCTTTAATGGTATAATGGGTCGACACATATTTAAAGGAGAATTCAAAAAACATTTAATTAGTAATTTTACATTGCCATCTTGTTGTAACTGCGTAAGCCGGTTTCCGGCAAAGTATAGACTAAAAAACGTGCTGGTGAGTTTCCTGAGCAGTCCGAGAGTAATGATCGAAAAAACACTTGTTATTTTGATAGACTTATTTATGGTTGTTACTCTTTGTTGTAGATCTTATTATTTGTGATTATTAATTGAGTTTTCTTAAAGCAGTAGTTTTTCTTTATTAACTGTGGTTATAACAATTGGCGACGAAGATAAAAATGATGTATTTGGCTAATATATCGAGTTTTGATTTACAAAATGACGATTTTGTTGAATATATTGAAAGATTTGAAAATTATTTACTTGCCAATAACATACAGGAGGCAGAATTACAAAAAGCCGTTTTTCTATCAACTATTGGAGGACCTGCTTACAAACTTCTTCGTAGTTTATGTGAAAATGACACTAAAAATAAAAGTTTTACTCAACTAATAAAGTTAATGAGAGACCATTTAAAACCAACCCCAAACTTCATTGCACAACGGTTTCAATTTTATAAAAGAGACAGAAAAGAGGGAGAATCAGTGAATGGATATATTACTGAATTGCGCAGATTATCAGAGCATTGTGAGTTTAGTGAGAAGTTAAATGATTACTTAAGAGATAGATTTGTGTGTGGATTAAACAACGAAAATGTACAGCAAAAGTTATTAACCATAAAAAACCTTACATTAGAGACAGCATTAGACACAGCAAGAGCATATGAAGCGGCATATAAAGATGCTAAGATTTTACGTGGTACTAGAGAGGGTCATATAGAACAAGAAGAAGTGCACAAGATGGATACTCGGACAAGATTTGAGAAAAATAGAGAATGTTTTCGATGTGGCTATATGGGTCATTAGGCAAACAGTTGTCATTATCGCAACTCAAAGTGTCACTTATGTGGGAGAATAGGACATATAAAAAGAAGATTTCAATCAGAAAAAAAGGAATTTGAGGGTAGGAAGGAGAAGAAATTAGGAGTGAAACAAGTTGAAATTCGTGAGGGTTCAGCTAAAGGAAACACTGCAGACACAGATGAAAATGATAGTGATTTTTTAGCCTTGTATTCATTAGGTGAGGAGTCTGAGAGGGTGAATGGGCCAGTTATGGTTAATGTAAAAATCAATGGTAAAGAGGTAGGAATGGAAGTGGACACAGGAGCTGCTGTTTCCGTAATGGCTGTTTCAGCTTATAGAAGAGTGAAAGGAAATAAAGGAAAGTTAAGAAGGTCTGAAGTAGTGTTAAAGACTTACACAGGAGAACTTGTAAGACCAGAAGGAATAGGACTTGTTGAAGTAGATTATAAAGGACAATGTTGCAGTTTACCTATAACTGTAGTTAAGGGAAATGTACCTACATTAATGGGAAGAGATTGGATTTATAGACTAAACCTGGAATGGGCAGATTTGTGTAAAGGGATTAAAAAAGTTAACATTTGCAATAGGTTGGATTCCAGGGTAGAGGCATTAGTTGCGAAATTTCCAGAGGTGTTTAGTGATAATTTAGGGTGCTTAAAGAATTTTAAATGCCACATACCTGTACGTGAGGGTGCACAACCAAAGTTTTTTAAACCAAGACCAGTACCGTATGCTTTGAGGACAAGGATTGAACAAGAGCTTGATCGCTTGGAAAACCAAGGGGTTTGGAGAAGGGTTGAATATTCACAATGGGCAGCACCTATAGTGCCTGTTCTAAAGAATTCAAAAGACCCTACGGGCCCATTACGTATATGTGGGGATTATAAAATTACAATAAATCAAGCTGCCCCTCTGGATACCTATCCAATCCCAAACACCACAGATCAGTTAGCCACTATTGCAGGTGGACAAAAATACACCAAGCTTGACTTGTCCCAGGCATATCAGCAACTTGAGTTGGATGAAACTTCACAAGAGTTTCTAACAATAAATACGCATCAAGGTTTATATCAGCCAACTCGCCTTCAGTTTGGTGTTCATAGTGCAACTGGCATCTTTCAAAGAGAAATGGATAGAAGGTTAGGGAGGTTACCATTTGTAAAAGTTCGAGTGGATGATATACTCATCTCTGGAAAATCGGACATAGAGCATTTAAACAATTTAGAATCCGTATTAAGAATTTTAAAGGAATCAGGATTAACTCTTAAAGCATCTAAGTGCTCTTTCATGCAACCTAAAGTTGTATTCTGTGGTTTTATAATCAGTCAAGAAGGTTGCAGACCAACTACACAAAATGTGGAGGCAGTTATGGATGCTCCTCGACCCACCAATATCAAAGAGCTAAGAGCATTTTTAGGAATGGCTAACTATTACAATGCCTATTTACCTAGAATGGCTTCTTTTACAGAGCCACTCCATAATTTGATGAGGAAAAATGTATTCTGGAAGTGGAGTAGAGACAGTGAGGAGGCTTTTCAAAAAGTTAAAACTATGTTATGCAATGCACCATTGTTAGCTCACTTTGATCCATCAAAAAAAATTATGGTTCACTGCGATGCCAGTCCACATGGCGTGGGAGCTGTGCTGAGTCAACAGCAGGATGATGGAAGAGAAAAACCTATTAGTTTCGCTTCAAGAACATTAAATATGGCTGAACGAAATTATGCCCAAGTTGAAAAGGAAGGATTAGCATTAGTTTTTGCAGTAAAAAAATTTCATCAGTATTTATATGGGCACAAGTTTACTTTATACACTGATCATAAACCTTTGCTGGGGCTTTTTTCAGAAAACAAGGAACTTCCTGCAAGAGCTGCTGCAAGAGTATTGCGCTGGGCTCTGCTACTGTCAGCATATGATTATAAACTCCTATATTGTCCTGGTGAAAAGAACGCAGCTGCAGATGGTTTAAGTCGTTTACCATTAGATGCATCGAGAGAAAAGTCACGGTTAAAAACCATGGAGGTGGCTATGATGGAGCTAGTAAAAGCCCCTATTACAGAAAAACAATTGAGGGTAGCCACATACAATGATCCCATATTGGGAGTGGTTCTAAATAAAGTGTTAGACGGAGGATTGATGATGGAAGAGAGTAAAGTGGAACTGAAACCATACACATCCAGGTTCCCTGAGTTGTCAACAGAAGGGGGTTGTTTGTTGTGGGGGCGAAGAGTAGTGGTGCCAAGAGTATTAAGAGAAACAGTATTAGAAGAGTTACATGAGGTTCATCCAGGAGTAAGTAAAATGAAAGCTTTAGCTAGAAGTTATGTCTGGTGGCCTGGAATCGATTTGGAAATTGAGAACAAAGTAAAAAATTGTGAAACCTGTCAAAGGAATCAGAAGTGTCCATTAACTGAGTCTCATCCATGGGAATATCCAAGCAGACCATGGGAGAGATTACACATTGATCATGCAGGTCCAATGAATGGAAAAATATTCTTGGTGGTGGTTGATAGTTTCTCAAAGTGGATTGAAGTAGAAGTTGTGGGCAGTACTGGAGCCAAGACAACAATTAGGGTACTCAGAAGATTGTTTTCGACCCATGGTTTACCTCGAGTTATTGTTAGTGATAATGGATCTGGGTTTTCGAGTGAAGAATATAAACAGTTTTTGTCTTCAAATAATATTAAACCAATCTATGCAGCACCCTATCATCCAGCATCGAATGGTCAAGCAGAACGAATGGTTCAAACATTTAAGAACTCGTTAAAATGTTTTCAAGGAAGTGATGTCGAGACACAATTGTGCCTTTTTCTTTTTAAATATCGCTTAACACTACATTCTACAACTGGAGTTTCTCCGGCTGAACTTTTATTAGGTAGAAGATTAAGAAATCCATTGTCGATGCTACTCCCTGAGGTCATCACCAAAATCAACGAAAAGCAGCTTCCCGGTATTTTTAGTAATAAAAGTCGTTTCTTTCAACCAGAAGACCCTGTGTACGTAAGGAATTATAGTGGAGGTGAGAAATGGGTCTCAGCTATTATTGTCTCAAAAGTCGGAAATGTGAACTACAAAGTATTGACATTGGATGGTCGTATCCAGATTAGACATGTAGACCAAATTGTGAAACGTCATGTAAAAGATTGCATTGAACCTTTAGTTAAAACAGCAGATGGCATAATTGGTCCTTTGTTAAGCAATAAAATACCTGAAACATCAGTCCCGAGTGATAGCATGTATGATGAATGCAACCCAATTAACAAGGATATTGAACCCAACAGAGCACACGAGCAGCTTGAAAATAAAGACGTTAGTCACGATGGATCTTGTGAACAACCTGAACCGTTTTCTGAGCCCATTACTACAAAAACCCGAAGGTCAGGTCGAACCTGTCGTAAACCAGCATATTTAGAACAGTATGAATGATTTATGGGTGGAGGATTGTTGTAACTGCGTAAGCCGGTTTCCGGCAAAGTATAGACTAAAAAACGTGCTGGTGAGTTTCCTGAGCAGTCCGAGAGTAATGATCGAAAAAACACTTGTTATTTTGATAGACTTATTTATGGTTGTTACTCTTGGTTGTAGATCTTATTATTTGTGATTATTAATTGAGTTTTCTTAAAGCAGTAGTTTTTCTTTATTAACTGTGGTTATAACACATCTAACACAAATATTGGGTGCATGAATGGACACGTTCTGTTTCTTTATACTAGCAATGGTGAGTTGTTTAGCAAAACAGTTGCAAAAGTCAATGAGCATTTTAACTTGAATATTTGCTCCAGTCATATCAAAAAAGTAGTGTACATAGCCAAAAACTAAAAATTTTTTAAGAAAATATGAAAGTTGTGTTGCATTTTGTAATGAGCCCTTTATAAACCGTGAACCACTGATTACAATTTTATCGCAGCCTATCTTAAGTAACACTAATTACACAATATCACATTCTTTTGTTTTATCATTGTCAGAACACAGCAGTGTCACATCTCTGATACGTAATGAACCTTCATGTTCAGCTGGACATGAAGCAAATTTAACTACTAGGCAGACTTCAATAGAAAAATTGAGCCCTAGGAAGAAAAAATTAACTAACCGGTTGTCTCATTTGTCTTCTAGATTAGCAATTTCTTCAATAGAAAATCGTAAGAAGATAGCTTCAATGAAAGCAAAATTATCCAGCCTGCCATATAAATTAAAAGTTCTAAGGCAAAGTGTTAAAAGAAAAGAAGATATTATAAAAGCCTTAAGAGCTCAGGTTAGAGACTTAAAACATAAAAACCAAACATATTATTACAGCAGGCAAATTCGCAATCTTATTGCATCAAAAAAAGCAATAAAAATTAAAGAGAGAGAAAAGTTTAAAAAGTTAGCTCTCAAACATAATGCTGCGATTAGAAAAAATAATACGGATATTACTAGCTTAGAAGATAGTTTGACCCAAATGGACGAGGACAAGATAAGTATTACAAATACAACTGATTGTAAAAGCTATCCATTAAAAATGAGAATGATAATATACTGCATGTTATTGTGTAATGTCCCAACAAATAACATTCCATTTCTAGTAAGCAAAATTGGGCAATATTTCAGTGTTATTTTTTCTCACATTCCTTGTCGTAGCACTATTGAGCAAATGGCTCGTGAGATTGGCAGTATTGCTGATCTGCAGGCAGCTGAATGGATCATTAGTAATACTCATCTTACTCTTGGGTTTGACGCAACTACACAAGAAGGTGTTCATATCAACAGTATTCACTTAACTTCAAATGATAAATGCCAGGTAATTACTGTTGATCAATTACCAGGTGGGACAGCTGTGGATTATGCGAACCATATATGTAACGAAGTGGATCATACAGCTTTAGTATATTCAAACTTTCACTTGAAACCCTTTGAAGAATGTCGTCGTATGGTCATATCAAATATTTCAAACACAATGTCGGACAGAGTATCTGTTAACCATCTTACAATAAGAAAAATTGGTGAAACTTGGGGTAAAAGTCTCAATGAATTAAACTGTCATTTGCACCCTCTTGACACAATTGCCACATTGTGTCGTTCAGCATTAAAGTCTCTAGAGCTTGATAGCTGCGAATTATATGGAAATGATTGTATAGCTGCAAAAATTGTTTTGGCTATGAATAAGATGAGGTTGAAAGATGGTAAAGGTGACCCAAAGGGATTTGTTAATTTTTTAGACAATAATAAACTACCACGAGGTATCATTCCAAGGTATCGTGGAAATCGCCTTCACATTCTGTTCCACACTTGTTTTATTTTTATAAAACATTATAACAAAATTTTACATTTTTTAACTATAGGAACAGTAAAAATAAAAAACTTTACAAAGGGTTCTGCGAGTAGCATTTTGTAATACAACTGCTATAAAGCAAATGTGTCTATTTGCTTTATTTGGAAAACTTCTTACAGGGCCGTGGATGACAATGTTTTATGTGTCATCTGAGAAAGCATATTTTGATCATGTTGGTGGTATCCAAATTGTTAAAAATGTTGTGCAAACAATTAAAGACTGCAAATGCGATCCAGCTGCAATATTTTGCAGAACAACAGATTTTTTTGGAAATGCTCTCAAAGCAAATGTGTTAGAACCATTAACAAAAATATGTAGAATTGATGACTAGCTCATTGCCATGATCTTGGCTTGCCTCAATGCAATAGAAGTGGTTTTAAATCGACAGTATAAGCGCTATTTTTCCATTACCATTACAGAAGCACTTGAAAAAGAAACAGCTAGTGCAAGGCTTCATAACATAGATAGTGAAGAGTTAATGGGAATGTTCAGTGCTGCAAAAGGAAGATCTCCTAATGCATCTATTGATTATATATCTTGCAAATTACGAACCAAAAAGAATGGGACAATAGATTATCTGGATAATTATGATGACTTTTCTAGAAAAATGGTAGTTCAGTGGTCTATTCAGGCAGCACGTAAAAAACAAATAAAAACTCGACTACAACATACTGAAATTAGAGCTGAGATTTCTAAAAGACAGACTATAAAACGCCAAAAAATTGATGAAAAAGAAAAAAGAAAGTTAGAGCAACAATTAACATTATTAACTATTAGTGAAATTCTGAATTTGTTTAAAAACTTATCTACTAAGCAAATTGATGATTTAAATGATGTTATGTGTGAAAGAATTGTTGGGAGAAATCTTTGCCATGAATGGTATGATTCCGATACAGCAATGACAGTCTTGTATAATGGCAGAGTAGAAAAACTTAAAAAAGCTCAGAAAGATATTATATACACTATTTCTTATTGGACTAGAGAAGAAAATGATACTGAAGCAGTTGATTATTATATGAAAAAATTCCAGCTAGTTGCTGACATTGTATCCGGTGAGTTGATGTTTTCCTAATGTAAATATGTTGCATTTATTTTTTTTATAATTAAAAATGCATTTTTTTATCTTACTACTTTATTTTACTATTTTTTGACTTTCTATCTCTCTCTCTCTCTATATATATATATATATATTTATATATATATATATATATATATATATATCAATAATATGCAAATGTACAGCGAGAAGTGGTACTTGCAAAAAAAAAATATAGCAAGTAGTTGAACTTGCAAAAAAATATATAGCGAGTAGTGGAACTTTCAAAAAAAAAATATAGCGAGTAGTGGAACTTGCAAAAAAAAAAATATAGTAAGTAGTGGAACTTGCAAAAAAAAAATATAGCAAGTAGTGGAACTTGCAAAAAAATATATAGCAAGTAGTGGAACTTGCAAAAAAAAAATATAGCGAGTAGTGGAACTTGCAAAAAAAAAAATATAGTAAGTAGTGGAACTTGCAAAAAAAAATTATAGCAAGTAGTGGAACTTGCAAAAAATTATATAGCGAGTAGTGGAACTTGCAAAAAAATATATAGCAAGTAGTGGAACTTGCAAAAAAAAAAAAAAAAAATTGCGAGTAGTGGAACTTTGCATAAAATATATATAGCGAGTAGTGGAACTTGCAATTTTTTTTGATAGACGGCTCTGGCTTAGGTTCACGTCGTGTCTATTGTTAACAATGATTAATATATAGTTTCATTAATGGAATTTAATATCTTAATCATTAACTAAAAGCCAAGACGCAAACTAATTAGAATAATATGATAAAACATTTTTTGTTTTTGAAACTCTTTTTTAGGTCAGAGGGGGAACCATCTATAACTATCACAAAGCATTGTGTGATGTATTTTGAGTTTTGGTAAAAGATGTTTTTAAATTAAAGTGTTTATTTTCATTGCATTTAAATGTTTTTTCGAATCTCATTAAAAATAGCTTCTTTTTTTTAGGTTGTCAAAAAAAAAGGAAAAGGTGGGGCAACGACACGCCCCCTCGCCCATCTACACCCTTGAAACAAAGGGTGCGCTGCTAGTGATTTTGTAAAGTAGTAAAATATAATTTTTGATTTGAATACTAGATTTCTTTTTAATTATAAAGATAAATATTTATATAAAGAGTCATTTTTGATAATAGGGTGTATTAAACTATCACCCTTACATCCACCCAAAGGCAATGATGAGTCTTCTATATTTGATTGTGATCTGATAGCTAATTACAAAAACATCTTGCATATAAAAATTTACATTTTCATTAAAAGAAAACACTTTTTATAAATAGTAAGTCTTTATTACCGGTAAGGATGGTGGTTTTGTGCCCCTCTCACCCCCGGATGCGCCCGATATCTAGAAACTTTTATAAATTTGTAGATGACTCTTGTATC